GTACATACACGCGGTACATACACGCGGTACATGCACGCGGTAAATACACGCGGTAAATACACGCGGTAAATACACGCGGTACATGCACGCGGTAAATACACGCGGTACATACACGCAGTACATACACGCAGTACATACACGCGGTACATGCACGCGGTAAATACACGCGGTAAATACACGCGGTACATGCACGCGGTACATGCACGCGGTACAAACACGCGGTACATGCACGCGGTACATGCACGCGGTACATGCACGCGGTACATGCACGCGGTACAAACACGCGGTACATGCACGCGGTACAAACACGCGGTACATACATGAGGACAATTCTAATATGCTGTTCTATTGTCCTTATTTTGGGGACAACATTAAACAAATAAAAATAAATATTGTATCATAAAATCGCTCAAATTTTCGATAACACCTGTTTGTGAAATCTACCCTAAATCAATATGCATTAGCGTTATGTTTATTAGCTACTTTTGATCGAAGTTAAACAATAATGTGATGATTTATTTATCGCTTTTTTTTATTCGTCGCCCGTCTACTGTGTGGTAGTCGGAGTGAATACCACCGGCCGGCAGAACTAGCTCATTCGTGCAATCGACAAACATTGTTATTTCGGTCTGTTACACAGGTAAACTGTACAAAGCGTCTCGTCTGCTGTGGTGTGTGGTCGTGGCGTTGCGCCAGGCGAGCGACACGTTCATGCGGCATCTAATGCTGCTGCGGGCTCTACCAAGGGGGCTATTTTGTTCGTGTATTGTGAATGTGAACTGCTTCCTATCGACATCGGCTAGGGTCGCGTCAACTGCGGACTCGACTCGACCGGCGCTGTTGTACAAGAGCGCGTTATATCTCTCACTTGTTATACAGCACTATGTCGGGCCTCCAAATGTGGTCGGAGGGCACGTGCAGCATCTCCACGCCGCCGTACTCGCGAGGCTCCCACGACAACTTGTAATCGAACCAACTCTGAAAAAGTGTGCGAAATCAATGGAAAGGTCGTGCAGTGGTCGCACTCGAGCCGAGGGCCGCGGACGAGGTCATACCTGCTCGACCCATAGGTTTGTCGTCATTATCTGGTTTTTGAGATTCTGAAAAACATGAAACATCGGTTTAGAGCGAAGATTGGAATCGCGGCGCGCGAGTGACCGAACACTGACGCAACTCACGACATCGATGAGCTGGCTGAGCTTGAGCTTGATGCGCACGGTGAGCGCGTCGCTCACGTTCAGCACGGGCCGCACCAGCTTGTTGTAGTTGCTCAGCAGGTCGTCGTACAGTCGCTTGGCGTCCGGGTTGCCTGCGCACACTGCGCACCCTGCCACAGCCCCACCGTTAAATACATATAGATCCATTATACACTTAGCGACTGGCCGCGGCCTGTGAAAACTATACAAAATTCAGTGATGCGCAGCGAGACGCGTGAACCAGTGATCTGTACATCAACTCCCAGAGGAATTTAAACTTCTTAGTGGTGTATGAGAGGTATTTTCTCAAACAACATGAATAGTCCTCGTCATGACTTTTATATTATAGAATTTTAGAGATAAGGGTACCGGCGAGCAACAGCGCGAGCAGCACCAGCGGCAGCGCGGGGGGCGCGGGGGGCGCGCGGGCCGCGCGGGCGGGCAGGGCGCGGGAGCGCATCCCGCGCGCATGGCGTCAGCGCATGCTCCCGCCGCCGCCGAGCTGGCCGCCGCCCGCAGAGCGCGCTCGCTGTGGCCCTATGCTCGGCTCCCGCTGCTCTCGTCTCGGACCTCGGCACCTCGCCACCTCGCCACAAACCGGACTATACCTGTATGCGTAATCAATACGAGCATTATATCCAAGTGTTATCGCCATTTGCCCTTTCAAACAATTTGGCTACTTTGTTTATTTTACCATCTCTTTTTATTTCATTTATACTAGTACCCACAATAATTAATAACTAAATATATTTTTTATTTAACGACTTCAATGTGTCTGTTAAAAAATACTGGACCGATTTAGTTGCAGTTTGGTACACATATAGTGTACAGCCTAAGAGAAGATTACTGTTTTACGCGAAAATATTTAAAGGGGGGAAGGAAAGTTATATGGAGGTATCGTCATTTTTATAGTAATTCAATCTTACTAATATTATAAATGCGAATGTTTGGCTGAATTTGTTAGAAGGCCTCTCCTGAAAGGCTTCATAGATATCACTGAAATTTGGCATAGATGTAGATCATAGCCCAGTAGAACACATAGACTACAAATGCCGTTAGAAGTTTCCGTAAAATAATTAGCCTAAAAAAAACTAAATGCTACCAGAGACACCATTTCACACGGACGAAGTCACAAACGCAGTCAGTATTTTTCTATGTCGAACACAAACAAACAATACGTGTCACGCGGCACTCGGCACTCGGCATGCTATGCTGCTATAACTCTGTCCCGTGTCTCTCGACGTTTGCAAATCTCACGATGAAAGAAGCTGTCCGAGTGCTTTGAGCACGTGCCCATGTTTCCACTATAGTGATGATAGTTGTATCAACACATACTGTAATATCTGCTTTTTTTTTTTATACTAAAAAGTATTGTAAGGTATACAGACAGACAATTCACAGGTAATGACTATTGTACATTGCTAAATATTTATTTCGATATTTTCTAGTGTATACTAAAATATGCAAGTGTTACATCAAACAATACATTTTATTTGGTTTTAATTTAAAAAAATTAAATTATTTCTTTTAATGGCACCGAATAGATGGAGCTATATCATTCATTCAATATACCTCAGCATCAAGGTTTCTTTTTTTTTTTTATTAATATTATTAATGTTATTTATTCCACTTTGACGATTCGCGAGGAACAGCTAGCTAGCGTACTAACGCAAGTTCAGCGAAGCTAAGGGGTCACAATTCAACGCCTCGAGATATAGTTTCCGACGAACTCAATGTTTTAAAACTAGAAATGGTTTACGTGATGTACGTCGTTTGCAACAACCGTGACTTTTCTCGTAAGAGGAGGTCGACATTTGTAATGGTCTTAAAATAAATAACTTGTTCATTTGTTGAAGAGGAACACTAACCAGACGTAGCACTAAGACAAACTGCGAGTGGACATTACACATCGTAGCGAACGCTACCACTTTTACTTCAGTCACTATTCGAGCTCGACCACGTCGACATAAAACAAGGTAGCGTTCGGAAATTTATACATTCTGTTCTAAATTTCGCTACTGCATGCATTATTATAAAAGAATCGATTACATGAATACAGCACTTCGGCTTACATTAGAAAAATAGTAATAATTTTGGTACCTATTATTTTATAAAAACCGCGGGAAATTCTTAAGCAGTTTTTTAAACTTTAGTTTAATGTTAAAGGGCCGTGTCTTCCGAGTTCAACGACCACGACACGGAAGAGTAAACTGCACGAGGCCGCCGTGACGGACGAGGGGGCACTCGGCACTGCGGGCGGCGGCGTATGGCGTGCGGCGCGGGCGGGCGAGTGCCGCGGGCGGGGCCGGGCGCACTCGCTCGGCTGCGGCGCAGTGCCGGCGGGCGCTGCAACAGGGGGCGCGCCGTCGACTGGTCGCCGGTCGCCCCTGCGCGTTGTCGCTGCGCTGCGCGGCGCGGCGCGGCGCACTCGTGCTGCGCTGCGCAAAGCCTAGTAGCTACAAATACATTTATATGTAATAAGTGGTTATAAAGGAGACATAAGGTCTACTTTCCTTCGAAAAGATTGTTTTTTTTACTTATACAACAGCACTATCTGTTTATAAATAGTCAAAATCACATGTCAACATAATTAGTTCAATTATAGTAATTTCATTAATCTGCTCTTTATAATCTTAAATGTTGTTGATCGTCTATACTCCATTCGAAATGAAACTGCAAAGAAAGTATACAAATAAGTGTCTATGGCTAGAGGCCATAACACAATTTTAGTAAAGTGGCAAAAGATACCGACCACGATATATAGTTGTGGACCACTTAAGACAAAAAACACATTTATTGTAGCTGTTATAGAAAGAATAATTTTTAAGTGCTTTGTTATAACTACATTTGATAGGATAGAAGGTCTAGTATCTATTTATGTGGATATTACTTCGGTTATGATTGTTATTACTTTCTTTTTTTTTTTTTTTTTTTCTTAGCTGTCGCCCGCGACTCCGTCCGCGCCGAATTAAGAGCATATACAAACTCAATAAGTCGCCTATGTGTTCCTCCAGACTGTTCTATATCTACGTCAAAATCAGCGAGATCCATGCTGCCACTCCGGAGATACCCTCAAACAAACATCCATTAATCCAAACATTCGCATTTATAATATTAGTAAGATTTAAGCACAAAAATTAGCGTCGCGGCGCAATAACGCCACCTCGCGTAGTGGACGCGCTCTGCCGGCGTCCCGACAATCCGCCCGGAATATGTAAGGTTTATGACAGTGCATTGTACGATTAATATGTTTTGTTTTTTGATTGATTGTTATGTTTTGTTACTCATATTTAGTCCTGAGAAAGGACATAGGCTAATTTTTTTTAACGCCAAAAAATCCATTTTTACAGATAGTTTTTTTTTAATTTGTTTTGTAAAAATGTTACCCTCAAAAATTACAATAGAGGATGAAAGTTATGTACTAAGTGTTAGTGAAATAAGTAAGTAGCCTAAATAATTACAATGCTAACCAAATACAGTATTTCACGCGGACACAGCTAAGACTACTCAAAACAATAAAACCCAAAAAGAAAATTCTGCGACACAAATATAATAAATTCCAAAATGTACAAAACACCTAAATTGTAGTACCAATTTGTTCGATTAATTTTATTACAAGATCAATACTCGACAGTTCACAATAAATAGTTGTGTGTGCCGGTCCGACACTATAACAACTGTCCATTAAATTTAGTCAGTCAGTCGTCTGTATAGACAGGCTATAACAAAAGGTTTGACAAAAAAAAATTGTAATAAGCTCCCTCTGTAGTTGCAAAGTATTATAAAATGAACCAGAATATTAAAGTATACAATAATGTCAAACGCTATGTCTATTTAGTTTAACTTTTTATTTCAATAGATGGCGATTATATCAATAGATGGCGGAACATATTGTTTACATCGCGGTATCAATTTATTTAGTATGTTTATCGACTTGCCGATCGCATTTAATTAAAGTTGACTTGCACCAAGATATAACCAGTGTTTCATTGTGACTACTCGATACTTCTATAGTGAGAGGGAGACCTTTTTTTTTTTTTGAGACTGCTTCACAATAATCGTATCGAATCTACACAAGTCACAAATAGGATGTATTCTAATTTTCGATTTGTTTATGGCATACATTAAATTATAATTCTATGAAAGTAAAGTTTCCAGAAGCTGTTTTCAAGTAGCCGTTAAAAATTATTTAAGGCCATCTATCGGCTACTAGATAAAATACTTTTATTGGAAAAATAATAATATTTATTTATATGTAATTTTTTTTTTATTTTATGTTATTGAAATAAAGAAATGAAAATTGAGAAAAAAAACAATTGTTTTTTTTTTTTTTTCTATTGATTAATAATTTCATATTCATCCCGCAACAGTCGATAGCCTAATGGCAATGGCAACGGATTCACGATGTGGTTGACTTGAGTTCGAATCCCGGTAGGTAGGTAGGTAGGTAGGTAGGTAGGTAGGTAGGTAGGTAGGTAGGTAGGTAGGTAGGTAGGTAGGTAGGTAGGTAGGTAGG